CAGTGGGTGGCAGACTTACACTGACTTTATTGTAATTTTTTGGAAAGAGTTCTCTTGTATGTTGGATTTTCTGGTTAATGCTGGAAAATTCTCTCTCTGTTTTTCAACATATCCAAGAACAAAGAAAAAAGAAAAATTTTGCCTAAAATCATGTCTGATGTTATGCTCGGAACCAGTAATTCCTAAAATTAGACCCAGACAGAGTAGTACTAAGGCTGTATGTGACCAAAGCATTCTCCTCTTCACTCTCTCCTGCTTAGCCTGGTGCAATAACCTGGCACAGCAGATAATAATAATAATAATGGCACTTGTTACGTTCACAGGTTGGTTAAGCCAAAAATAGTAATAAAGATGAGGTGACCACAGATAATTTGTATTATGTCCAACAGCAACACATGACTTCTAATAAATGAAAACTTCTGCTCCTAAAATTTACCTATTGGACTGCAGTTTTGAAAATAACAAATTGCTTAGCAGTTCTTACGCATCTGTTATCTGTGACTTTCAGGTTTTGGGGGAAAGGTATGCAATTAGTATCAAATGCAGTGTCCTTAATAGTCATATATACTTACTAATCTACAGTAATATTAGTCACCATATTTTTAAAAAGATTACATATATGTTGAAGAATGTAAATTATTTTTATGAAGATGAGTAACATTTAAAATTCAGACTTTTAAATATTTTCTAAAGAAGTCAGAGTTTAGTGTCAACCTAAATTTTTTTGATCTTAGTCCTCCCTCTGTAATGCTGTTTCCATTTTATCCAAGGAAATCCTTCTTTTTTTCATTATCCCATAGTACCATTAATGCTGATTGTGTTTTGTTTTGCAGAGTCCTGTCCTCCAGTATCTTTATTATCTTGCACAAATACCCATTGCTATGTCTCCACTTAGTAACAACAGCCTATTCCTGGAGTACTCAAAAAATCCACTACGGGAATTTCTACATAAGGGACTTCATGTCTCTCTCTCCACAGATGATCCTATGCAGTTTCATTATACAAAGGTAAGAATTGCAAAAAGCACTCGTCTTTGAACTTGGCAACAGTACCACATAGGCCCAGAATGACCTGAAAGTTATTTTATATCATTGCTTAGGATATAAAGTTTCATGTCTTTCACTCACTTCATTCATTATTCTTCCTCATTCTCAGTCTACTACTCACTGTTAGGTTTCAGAGGGAAATGTCTGATTTCCTAATTATGTTTCTTTTGTACTCTTGCCTCTCCAGTGTTGGCTGTTGAAGTATAGAATGAAGGATGAGGCTGAAGGAAGGTTTGAGCCTTCATAAACAATCCTCTAGAGTGCCAGGAAAGTCCAGTTTCCTTACTAATAAATCTGGGGAAGTACATTACAAAAACACCATGTGGAATCTCTGAAGATGACGTATGAGCTGTTTGCTCAGTGAACTGAAACGGATTCTTGCCCTTGGGTGGCCTGGCAGGGTAGAAATGCCTGGTCACTGGTTTTGATGCCCTAATTTTGTGGTCGGCACGGACTTGAGTCATGCTGTGCCTTAGAGTGGCCTGTACATTGCTCAATTGTCTGTGTTCTGAGGACAAGCTGAGCTCTGGCGTGCTTCACCCAGGCTTGCTTCTGGCCCATGACATGTCTCTGCTAGAAAAGACAGAGAGCTTCTGTGGGGGCTTTCCGCATGGGTGTAATGCAGCACCAGCCGAGTTACACATAGTGTGGAATATCCTCAGCTGTGACAGCCCACTAGAGTCAGACCCAGCCGTCTTGTGTGGAAGGTCAGAAGTAAGCTGAGCTCTGGTGTGCTTCACCCAGGCTTGCTTCTGGCCCATGACATGTCTCTGCTAGAAAAGACAGAGAGCTTCTGTGGGGGCTTTCCGCATGGGTGTAATGCAGCACCAGCCGAGTTACACATAGTGTGGAATATCCTCAGCTGTGACAGCCCACTAGAGTCAGACCCAGCCGTCTTGTGTGGAAGGTCAGAAGTGAGAAATTGCCCTACTATCTGTCTGTGTACATATTCATTAAAGATTTAGGACTAGATCCTCCAAGGTGTTTATATACCCTGGGATCTCATTTGAAATTGCCTAATAAATGCCTCTAAGGATCTGGACTGCAGGCTGCAATTTCCTAGACTTAAGATAACTGGATACCCAGTGCCTATTAATTATTTAACAGTTGCCCTTGGGAAATTAGAAATAACAGTTCTGTTCATTACTAATTGTGATGTTAAAGTCTTAAACCTCTAATTTTTCACAGCTGTCTAAAGAGCATGTATAAATTCCTTAATTAGTAATGAGTATGTGTCTCCATTTACATCTTATTTACATATAATTTAATATTAAACATATTTTGGTGATACAGGAAGCTCTCATGGAAGAATACGCTATTGCAGCCCAGGTGTGGAAACTAAGTACCTGTGACTTGTGTGAAATAGCAAGAAACAGCGTACTACAGAGTGGATTGTCAGATAAGGTAATTACGGCTGAAAAAAAATCTCTTTTGTGAATATGAGGGCAAGTAGGAACTGAGAAGTCGATAGTCTGAAAATTGAATAGTAGGTGCTTATGTGATGTATTTGTGCACATCCCTCTCCTCTTTTCCAGAAATATTCACAAACTATCTGCTATGCAGTCTTACATTAAAAAAAGTATTAACATTACATTTTTCCTCATTTAGCTTTGTTCTGGAATCCCCAAAACATGCAGAAAGACCAGGTGCCCTTTTATACTCAGTTCTGCCTCCAGTCCCAAACCTTTAATTACTTGGGTGATATCCCTTTGCCAGTAATTTTATACACCATGTCTTGCACTGAGTAAAAAGAAACTGCCTGTCATAAGCAAGACATGTTTTTGCTTAGAAGGGAGTACTACAGAAAATACTCTGGTTTAGATAGGCAGTCAGATTACAATAAATTCCCTTTTGGCTGTAAAATTCTATACATCCATGGCTTTCTCTAGGACTTATTTTAGAGCATCCTCTCTTCTATGTCACTTTCAAACATTCCTCTCAAGGAGCTGGTATGTGGAGGGGCTTTTGCAAGTATATTCTGTTGTTTCTTCCAATGTTCTCTTGTGACAACTACTAATTTTCCTCTTGTGCCACGTTTAACTAACAAAAGAAACCTAAGCCTCTTTTTGACCTCTCACGTGAAAGATGTAGTAGTGAAGACTGAACGCTAGCACAAAGGGTTTTAGCAAGCCAGACTGAGTGCACCGCTGAGTAATTTTATGTATAAACTTTGGCCCTAAAATCTCCAAAACTGGTTAAGACTCTGAGGTAAAGTTCAGTGGCCAGCTGGTTGAAGCTGCTCTTTTCACTTGCACTGGAGTCATTCAACTAACAAATACTCAGTTATACAATAAATCAAAACAGTTGAACTGACTCCTTCCTTTTTACCTTTAATCCCGTTCACAGGAAAAACAGAAATTCTTAGGGGTGAATTACTGTAAAGAAGGGCCTGAGGGAAATGACATTCGAAAGACAAATGTTGCACAGATCCGGATGGCCTTCAGGTACGAGACACTGTGCAATGAACTTAGTTTCCTGTCTGATGCTATGAGAACAGAAGAGATTTCTACTCTGTCAAAGTAGTTACAAACTCAAAGAAACCAGAACATTTCACTCCTGAGCAGGGTAAGATGCTAATTAACATTGAATCATCTGTCTTTGATGCTACCAAGACATAACTGAACAGTACAGAGAAAAATAGAGTATCTATGGAAGGTAAACAGCGTTTGCCATTATCTTTTACTGCATTCTTCTCATTGCAAAAATATCAGTTTCTACAAACATTAGGCTTTGTAAGATTGCTGTAAATACTAAATGCAAACTCAGTCTCATGTAATATTTGTTTCATACTGTCTTAACCGTGGAATATATCGTAGCTTGGAAAACAACAGAGAATATTCATAGTGCATCTGTGATATGCACCTTAGGATTTTGCAGATGCTGACAGTATACATGCACCTGTTTTTGTCCTGCTAGTCTCAGTAGCGGTCGTGGCATTCAGCACTTTTAAGTTTAACCCTTTATTCATTAGCAGTTTGTATGGGGTGCATAATTTTGAGGCTACCCTTTCATTCTGGAAGGTGTTCTGACACAGGTTTTTATCTTAATGTTTCAGCAGTTATACCGGAAAACAAGAAAAAACAAAGTCCGGTAGTCCTGTTTAATGACTAATTAATTACTTCCTGTTGTCATGTAGGATGTCTGTGAAGAAGAGCAGATTAATGCTTTTTAATCTAGTAAGTAGAACACATGGTGTCAAAATCATCACTATCGTACATTGTAATAATGAATCTAATTATATCATGAAAACTTTGCCTTGAAAGTTGAGAACACTTTTTTATTGCTTTGTAATGGGAATATGTGGGTGTGCCAGTTCAAATTACTTGGAAATTTATGCAGATAATTTTGGTTGTGTGTAAAGAGAAATTTTTTACTTGAACAAAGGAAGTGTTCTTATGAATCAGTGGTAGAAACTCCAGACCTGGGTGCTGGTCCTACTTCTGACATCTTTTTACACATTTGTGTTAGTTTGTATTTTAGTCAGTTAGAGTTGAATGAGAAGTCTATTTATACAGAAGCTAGCCCACTTGAAATATGTCATTTCAAATCATGTTATGTTAAAATTTTATTTATGATGGAGTGGCTAGTAAAATACAGCTAGTGGAATATTTATCACTTTCAATCTTTTTTGTATTTGATCATCCTTCTTAAGACACAGTACTACTCATTCAGAAAGGATTAAAGGTTATAACATGATAGCATATAGCTGCATGTAGTTTCACACTTTTTAGCAGGGCCTGTTGCGACAGGACAAGGGGGAATGGCTTTAAACTAAAAGGGGGTAGATTTAGACTAGATAGAAGGAAGAAATTTGTTATGCTGAGGGTGGTGAAACACTGGCACAGGTTGCCCAGAGAGGTGGTGGATGCCCCATCCCTGGAAACATTCAAGGTCAGGTTGGACAGGGCTCTGAGCAACCTGCTCTAGTTGAAGAAGTCCCTGCCCACGGCAGGGGGGTTGGACTAGATGACCGTTAGAGGTCCCTTCCAACCCAAACCATTCTATGATTCTATAAAAAAGACTCGAGGCTAGGGGCAGCAGAGGATGTTGATGCCTGTAAGTCCAACATTACGCTACTTAATTTGAAGGCCTATAGTCCCTAAGCTATTGAGCCTACAGAGACCTGGGTATCTAATATAATACATAGGGAAGTCAGGCATCTTAGAACAGTAATTCAGAATTAATGCATAAAAAGCAAATAATGAATACTAGCCAATTGAGCCTCACTAGACCTAGAACCCTGCATGTTTTACTACATCAGATATCTTGTGCCACTTGTATTTCTTAGGCTAGGCCCCTCTCCTGGGGCTTGGGCACCTACATCCTTCCTTTCAAGGGCTGATCAGGTCTCACTTTCCCTTGTAAAGGCAGCCAGAAGTAGCAGTGATGACATCACCAGTACCAAACAACTCATTAATGGCATAAATGTATATATGCATTGAAGACATACACTGTCTCCTCAGGCTGTGGCAGTTCAAAGCAATACCTACAAGGACACTTTTTTAACATACCTGCTGTCCTGAACGGTGATTGCAGGGAAATGGCACTAAAGTAAGGGAAGGAGGAATTCCTTATCACCTCCTATAGCTGTGCAGCCCTGTAAGAGAGATTAAACCTAAAGACCCTTAGGAAGCAGCCTGGAAGTAAGGCTGCCCCGAGGGAGACCGAGGCACAGGAGTAGAGTTCTGGCCATCCAGTCACCATTACAGTTTGCCAGTGTCATGCATAGGGAGCTGCAGTGATTGCAGACGTTCTTCATCCACAATATGGTTGCAGACAGGTGGTGGGAGGCTTGACTTTAGCTCTTCAGCGACCTAGCCTAATGTCTGCAGTGTTCAACTAGTGCCAGATTTTGTATTCCTTGTGCAGCTAAAAATTGTGCGAAACTGTGCTACGCCTACACTGTTCAACTGTACGATAATAAAATTGTCCAAAGCTATTAGTCAACAATGCCTACTGGCCTCACTGTTAGAAACTTCAGCAGCTCATATAATGCATTATCAGGATTGGCAAGTGTAATTTCCTTAGGATGAAGTCTGAAAACAGTGGTTGGAGCATTTTTAGCTGCATAAAATGCAGACATCTTGTTTTCATTAGTACAACTTATTAACTAATAAGTTGTTATCAACATAACATAATTTACCTGAGCAAAGCATCTATGTCCAGGCTAAATAAGCAACATGCTTGGTTTGAAGAATTTAAATTTTAAGTATTTTCACCTGATAAACATTGCTTTACTTGGGTTGTTTCACCTGAAGATTGCTATTAGTGCTGCTTTTGTTGTCACTTAAATTTCTTATTTAGTTTTCTTAATAATATACCAAATCCGTGTATGTTTAATACCTTTTCAGCTTTCCTTACCTCAAACGCATCAGGTTCTAATATGTCTGTAGCTCTTATTAAAGAAAAAAACCCAAACTGGATTTGAATGTTCAGTTAACGGACAGTAATCAGGATTTTGATAATAATAACAATAACCCACAAGTGGCCATGACCACAAGTTCTCTTTCTGTGCTTCCTTGTGTGCTGCTTTTAAGGATAACTTGAGCTAATAGTGTTACATTTAGGGAAACAAACCGACATCCTTTCAAGCTCCCACTACTACATTTCTTTTGGTCATCTTTTAATTAGGCAAAAGTTACTGATTCTCAAGTTCAGTTCTTAAACTTCAGCTTCTTCTCTTTTTCTAAAGTTGCACTTTTGTTCTAATGTATGGCTGTTCAAAATAACCTTGCAGTCTTAGGATATGTATGTAACGAAGGGCAGACCCAGTGTTGAAGTGTTACTGACATCTGAATTACTATTGTACACATTTACTCAAATGCAAGACAGGGCAGTTGCTGATTCCCCCCCGACAGTGTTGAGATCAAACCTGGTTACACCACAGCTTGTGTTTTACTCAAACAGAAAGGGACTAGAAGAACATTGCAGGTGGTGATTGGGGCGGGTGTTGCTTCAGAATGGGAGAATATTCTATTTTCTCATCATTTCCTTGGTGTTCAAATAATGTTCAAACATTATTCAAGACTTCCTTAAATCTGTTAGCTCAGAGCATTTTATACTTTCACCTAAAATGGTTATTTGGTGTTTACAACATATCTATTGGAACAATTTCTAGTGACGCTCTTCCATTCTGTTACTTTAGTAAACTTAAGGCATTTGCGCTGCCACTGGATTATACAATTTTCTTTCTCACCCCAGAGCACCTTACCTTCTCATATCATTGTTCTTTCCTTGTGGCTAAACCTTTCTGTTCTATTTGCCTAGTTGTAATCTAAATCTGAAAAAGGTCGGGGGGAGGGATGTCTGTAAAAACTGCTTTTTCTTTCTGTGCCTGGGTTAAATGATGTTTATCTTTTGCCTCTTGTGGAAGCATTAAACATTACACTAATAAATAAATTATAAAAGAATATGGTTAGGGTTTTTGTGTGTGTATACCTCTCAATAAAATTGTAGCCGCTCATTTAAGTAGAACTAAAAACCTATGCAATTAAACTGTTAGCAGTACAGAAGACTAAACCAAAATTAAGGACTACCACAGCATGAAAACTGGAAAAAAGAAACCAGTGGAGATAAAGATGAGGAGTTAAAAGCTTAGCTGACTTAAAGCAATTCAGCATTAATGGAAACCAACTACTCTGATTTGTGCCAACAGAAGACCTGGCATTAAGTCCTGAAGTGCAATTGTTTTGCAGGGCTGCCCCCACTGTCTCTTGGCGCCCTTGTTCCCTGCTCGTCCAAACTGGGCATCAGGGTGGGGCATGCAGCACCTCTTCTGATCCTGGAGCCACATCTTGGTATTAAACTGAGAGTCAAAACACCTGAATTTGGGAGCAGGAAAGCAGTTCTGACACTCACAGTTGAAACAATTTAAGCAGTACACAGAACAGCTTTATCTGACAAAAAGAATACAACTAAGAAGCCAACAAGTGACAAATTGGAATAAATAGTTGATACCAACATAGACATTCTGCTACAGTCAAGATGACTTTTGAGGAAAAAGGTTTAACACAAATTACTTTCTTCAGTAGGAAATGTAATAAAGATTCTTAGATGAAGATTAAAACGTGTCTCTTTCTGTATACAAACCCTTTATTTCTGTACACAAGCAAGCACTCACGAAGCACGAGTACAGATTCACCTGTAACTGAAGAATGTGTATTTCTCCCCCATACCTCTCAAAGCACTAAATATCAATGCTAAGCAGCATAGAGAATAGTATATATAATAGTGAGACACCAACACAGCTAATTCATTAATCATTAACCATGACTCATGGGTACCACCTCACATCAAAAATATTTTTGGAAGGTCTATTAAAGTGGGTTGGAATCACATTAGCATAGAAGCACAGACTGTGGTATCAGAACCCTACCTGGTTCCGCATACAATCAAATTCCAGAAGGGCAGGTTTCTGACTAATTTAAGCTTAATTCATCAAACACCTTCTATTTTTAAATAGCGCTTTGAACAATTACCTGTTGGATAGTATTCTTCATTCCACCAGACTTACTTACACTGGGCAAAGTTCCATCCAAGTTCACAAAACTCAAATTTTTTTTAATTTCAGGCCTACAAAACCCACGCCCAGCGTTTAATGTTTTAACCTCAATAGTTAGGTTAGTGAGGTAAGCAATACGTAAGCAATCATCTGCTAATTAACATCTTGACAGCTCAGATACAAAAGTAGAACGTGTTGTCAGATCCCTCACAGACATAACATTAATTGGAACATGGCTAGGTCACAGCAAAACACGCTATCTGGTGATTGTACACTGCAGGTACTGGAAAAGAACGCTGTCCCATTCAGGTTAATTTCAGATACACATAGCAACAGGAAAAGAACGTTCAGTCTTTGGAGATGTTGCCATATGATAAATTCTAGGCCTTAGAACCAAACATCTAAAGAAATGACAATTCAAAAAAATTCAGCTTTGAAATTACTAATTTTTAAGACACTTACAAAGAAAGCGGAATTCCATTCACCCACTTAAAACAGGTGAGGATAAAACCTTATGGTAAGTTATCTTCAAGAGTGGTTTAACAAAGAAAGTAATTCATTACTGGAATAGTAGTCACAATATAATTACTTCCATTACAGAGCATGTGTATTTAGTGGATACAAAATTAAAGACTTACGTATATGCAATGTCAAGAATTAAGGCCAGACAGGTTAGCATACAGCTCCCACTTACATCAAGCATCTTTAAGGCTCCCTGAGGAGGCTACTGTTCCAGGATTCAGCAGGACGCAAAGCACAAAAGAACCATAGCTAAGATGTTCCTTCTAAAAATAGTGCATTTGGCACATGCAGCTACGCAGGGTGGAATTTAACAGTTCAGTTCAAACCTACAGCACACAGATCTCACTGGTTGCCTTCCGTTTCCAGAACTGGAATGAGTATGGATTAGAAAACCTTTATAATTATATACAGAATTCTCTTTAAAGGAAAGGTAGAAGTTAAATATGCCATTTCCCACTAAAAAACCCATGCACATTACATTAATATGGTGTCTAAACTTGAAACCTAGAAAATATAAACATTTGTTAATTCCTCAAGTACACCTACCTCCTGGTGTGTCCGTCAACTTCTAAGTTTTCCAATTTTAATTTCCTGATCTGTTAATGAATTCCTCTCCCATTTCTCACTTGGCTTTGAAAGATCCAAACAGATAAACCAAGTAACTAGACAGAGGAAACAGTTACATTAATTATATACTTCAATTCTTATTAAAAACCAGGAAAAATCTGAGAAGAAAGAATACTCCAAACCTTAGCATTCTTAAGCTTTAAAATACTATCAGAAGCATGACGGAATAACTTGGGGAAAAAGTAAATCACACTTCTCTGAAAAAAAAAAAAAAAATCCTTTCCCCAAAGAAACCTGCTCCTCAACGCTGTCCTTTTAAGAAGTAGAGTTGTTTGTTTAATTTTTCCCATCACTGCAGAATGTTCCAATCTATTTATTCTGACAAACGAAAAATAAAAGAATCAGTGAGTCTTTCTTGCAGAGCTGCATTTCAGCTACCTTGTTAATATCACACTTCAAAGTTTAAGAGACATCTGACTCCTAATGGCATACTTTTAACCACACCACCTGTACAAAGGAATTGTATTTAGATTAAAATTCAGTTTTCAGACTTTTGTGGTATTAAAGCCAAGAGATTCCTTAAGCTTAAAAGAACTTTGACATTTCTTCCAAAGTAACTTTATTGCACAATTCATACACAAAGTTTAATATACTGGAATGTCCTTAGCTATTAATACAATCTATAATGTTTAAATTACAATTTCACATTAAACCTGTAAGAAATCTTCACTTAACACAAGAAAGTTTAGTTTGTTCTAATGCCCCCCACCAACAGCTATTCGTAGTAATTCACATTTTCAAGGTCCAGCTTCTGGAACCCATTGCCATGTCCCTGCCAATGGGATTCCTTTTCCAAAATTGTTTGCTAAACTTCAGCTAAGCACTTCAGACCAGGTAATACCAACCAGGACCAAATTACTAGTTTTTCAGTGTTAATGTACCTATTATCCCATATAACATACAGTACATATATTTTACAAGGCACACATTACAGTACCTACATCAGAGCAGTGTGAATTACAGCAACTTAATTAAAAAAAGCTGTACAGAATACAAAGTTTACTTTTTCACTATTTAAATAATTTTTGCATTAGTTTACATTGTAATTGCAAGTGTCATTAAGCTGCAATTAACAACCTGTTTGCATCATTACAAAATTACATTTTAAGAAATTCATGTAAGTTCTCAGCAGAAAGTCAACTTATAAAATCTCAGTTCAGAAGTATAATTCTTGAAATACTTGAAAAATAAAGTTAGCTTGAAGCTTTAATTTAGATGCTCTTTCTGTTCCAGTGATATAAAAAGTTTAAAAAATTCAAAGGTTCTTTTAATGTTCTGAACATGGACTAATGCAAGCTTAAAAAGCAAAAAGAAGCCAGACTGGTGTGTGATTAGGAATATTTGCAAATATTTCAGTGCAAAATCCCTGACCATTAACAATTTTCAGCCCAAATAATAACTGCCTTTATGCAACCGAACAGTCCATACATTTTCTGAAGAACATCTCATTGATATCAAAGGATTAACAAAGGAAAAAAATTAGTTTTAAGCTATATACATTCAGAAATGGATTTTTCAATAGTTAAATACAGATTTACACACTAAGCCATACTGGCTTTTAGATGATATACACAAGAAGAGTACGTTGCTTATCTGTCTTAATGTCTATGATAAATTTGACAACTATGCCATAAGCCAAGCTCAAACGGGTGCCATATGCTATGCATGTTCCTTAACAAATGGAAGTATAATAGAGAAATTCCCAAGATCTGGTCCCCAACGGAATTAAATTATTCTGTAGCCAATTAAGAAAAATAACCCAAATGTGCATATCTACGTGTGCACACGCCTTTTAGTTCAGAACCTGTCTGTGACAAAAGGCCTTAGCCTTATGGCGTTACTGAATTTTAACAAGTAGGGTAATTAAAAATGCAGTCTTACAGTACTTAAGATTTACGCTGATATTCCCTCAAATGCTACACTTGATATTTCCCACTCAATAGCCTCAAGTTAAAAGAGTAGTATTTGTTAATAGATACTTAAAAAAAAATCATTAATTAATTCTCTACAATAGCAGTTGAGTTCCGTAACACTATTTATGCAAAAGAGGCTTAAGATGGGTTCCCTGAATACTAACAATTTTAGACTGTCTAAACTCAGCTCTTTGAAGATTTTACTCTGCTGGACACAGAAATACACTGTTGCGCTCCAGTTGTGATATCCCTTTTCCCAAGTTGTCACATGCACATCTCGCTGCAAGCAACATTATTAAAGTAGAAGTTTCTCTCTGCTACATAAAAGCATATTGCACTTGTAGATAAAAGCACAGCACCCTTACTTAGATTATCACCTCATAACCCTTAGTATACCTTATAACTCTGATTTCATCACTTGAAAAACTCAAGAGAAGCAGATAAAACCACAGCATCAGACTAAACTACACCTTAACTGCTAATTCAAATAAAGTCATTCTCTTCAGATATGCCTAATGTTTAAAAATAATTTTGGCTGTTCTTGATCAAAAAAACCATAAAGAAACCGATTTACTTTTTTTAGGATTGTGTATGAAACTGTTTAATGTTTCTACACTAATAAGACTATGCTAAGTATCATATTTAAAAAAATATTCGAAGAGAGAAATCTTGTTAGAAGAATAAAGGGAAGTGCACAAGTACATTTACAAAGCTGCCTACACTCTCCAAAACAGGTTTAAAATAATTAACACTAAAACTCGTAACAGATCAGATTGAAATCAGATCTGTGAACACTAAAAGCAGCAATAACTGGCTACTGAAGAACAGTCAGTGGGACATCTTCAGGTTTCAGCATTAAAATTTCAAATTAATAACCACTAGTGCTAACTCATCATCTTTATTCACATTTGCCATGAAACGAAAAGGGACTGCTTTTAAGGATAAGAACTGTGAGGTCAAGCCATCTGACACGGTTCACCTTCCGTAGCAGTACACTGTGATGTTCAAACAGCAGTTAGCAGTTGTAGTTGTGCTGTCATAAATCGCTTCATCTAGTAGTCGAACTGTTAGTTAATATCAAAAGTTGTTTTTAAAATAAACTTTGTTAATGATCAAAGAGTTTACTGAAAGTGCAGATTAATAATTAAGACTGCACACACATACACTGGCTCATATACCCTGTGTTTTAAAAGAGCAGCGTAGATTCACAGCAGCCAAGAAGAGAAGTAAAAGACAGACTGTGGAAGAACGGCAACAAGAGGTAAAAACAGACGTTCGTGAAAACGAAAGCTTCAAGTGCTTCTGCTATTATCAGCTTGTTAGCCAGTGTCAGGGTCTGTGAGGCTGGCCCGCCTCATCTACCATGTTAAGTATATAAGTAGCGATATCATCTTCTGTAGGTGCATCCGAGACCACCCAAGAATCGCTTGCCCCAGTCACTTGCCGACGGCAGACAGGACAGCTTCTGTGACGATCACTCCTGTTAGGAAGCCAGAGAAATGAGTATTTTTCATTGATGGTCTCTTCCTGGCCAAAAAAAGCCAAAAGATCCCCCAAACAACAAAAAAACCCAAACCAAAACCAGAAGCAACCCAGTGAGAACTTCAAGAATGATCAGGTTAACTGGATTAGACCACCTATATATTTTTTGTTTGTTTATAAACATTTTCTTTGTGAGGAAGATGGGCCAACAATTCTGAATGCAGCTCCATTATTTGAGTGATAAATTTGGAGTCATGTTCCTCATAATCAAGTTTGCTCAGGTTAAATAGAATGCATCTAGCTACCTGTCCAGAAAGTTTAAATGGAAATCCATGGTCTAAATTAATTCTTCCTATCTTTAAATATTTAGCTGAGGTACTTCAGAAACCAGTCCCCATAAGCTTTCTATATAAAGAGAAAAAGGAACCCTTTTCCTGGGTCACTCAGCCCACTGAAGTTTAGAATTGGTCGCTCAGGGCCCCATCCCCTTCCACCGACTAACTCGGGGGTCCCAAACAATTATGCTTCTGAGCTGGGAGCCTCTGTTATATGCCTAGGTTAAGAAAAGATGAACCTTGAAAACTGAATACCAAAAAAAGAATGGTATAACTGGAACTTAGTTAAGAGTTCAGCTGATTCATTAGCCAAAGTAGAATATAGTCCACTCTCCACCGCAGTCGCTAAACTAAGCCCTGTATTGCTGATAGATGTTAAAATATTTTCCCAGAAAAGAGAGAGGACTAGTTATACTCTGAGATCCAGCGATTTTTACTACATTTTTTCCTTGTGGGAGCATGGTGTTGTTAGAATAACTTCCTTGATAAGCCTTTGAAAAATCCACAAAACAAATTCTTATGCACAAACTATGTGACTTAAATGTAAGATCATTTGCATTACTAGTCAAAAAAAGCCTTTAACTGAGAATATCTGTGTCACCTAATGCGAGACTGCCAGAACACCTGCCTAATCCTTGTAAAGTCTTTTGCATGGTCAAAGAGCTACGCTCTGCCACAAAGCAATTTTTCTCTCTCAGTTTTCAAACAACTGGTGTATCAGACAGATGCAGAAGCTGAAGAGCTGTTCAGTTTGCTATGAAGCTGAACACATACTGTAAGATATATGTTATACATAAATCTGAAGGTGTTGCTATTGAGAAAAAAGCTTTTCCTGGAAAAGTCTGATATATTTAAATTAGTAAATTGTATGCTATTTATTTCAAGTGAAAGCATAATATATGGAAAAAAATCCCTCTGATAGTTATTTCCCAAATAAGTGGTAAGACAGTCCAACTTGCCTTCATATTTGCATAGTCTTACAAACTATTGATTTTTTCCTTAAAAAGAAGCTTTTCATGAGATTGCAAAACATAACAAGCCAGCATCAGCATATACCGTCTTCCCTAGTTTTCAAGCAAGCATACAATAATTTAGTTTTACACGAATAAAAAGAGGCAAGAAATTACAAAACAAATGCTGAAAAGCACCTTCACATATTTTTCCAAAATGAAATTCTTCATAAAATGTATACAAATTCTGAAATCCTTCTTTCCTTCTGCTACAGTCTAATTTTACTCAAGCTACTTAATGTATGTACATTAGCTTGCAATGTACATACATTATCGTATGTACATTAGCTTGCAAATATCTTCAGACATTGAATTATATAGGACTAAGGAATCTGTCAGACCAAACTGAAACATGTCAGATAACCAGTACATACTATAAAATCATGAATATCCTTTAATATGTATTACCATTTATCAATGCATTTCTGGCAGAAACTGTGAGCACAGGGCAAGATTAAATCAGCACGCCCATCCATGCAGATGCAACATTCCTCTTCATCTGTCAACTGTTTAACCCTGCAGAAGAGAAGACAATATTTTCTCCCAGATAACTAGGAAGTTTTATATTTATGCTCTATTAACTATGCTAGTTACTACATTTTTCATAATAATGAGTGATGGACAGAAAGGAACACCTGTGCTTATCTGCAAGGAACATGTAGCTTTGTGAATGGACTAGTTACATCATCCCAGCCTATGTCAGCAGACATAGCCTCAAGCTACCAACAAACAGCAGTAAATGAACTAAACTAAGTTAGAATATGCATTTATCTTTTGTGTCATGCGGTGCTTTTGGTGTTGCAAAGAGTTATACAAATCCTTTTTCATATCAACAAGGAAGCGTGAGAAATTGTAACTGTTACATATCACATGACTGGGCAAAAGAACAGAAACACTGTTTACATTAAAGGCAGGAGAAGAATCTGCCTTTCTTTCAGAGTGTCAGGCTGAACTATTTCATAATGAACTTTGTCAAATTTCTGTGTACTGGCTTATATCCTAGGTAAAAACATGCATGCTGAGAGGATCACTACTAGAATGCATGTACGCTAATTTCACATGCCATCAAAATGCCAAGAGCTAAACTGATAATTAGAATGAAAAGGCTGGTTTTAGCTTGCAATACACTCCTCGTGATTGTTCCTTCAAATTAGGACTCTCTCCCAAGTTGACTGTTACCATGCCTTTTCCAGTTAAGCTTCTAGGTGTTCTTGTTGGGGGGTGGGGGGTGGAGAAGAAAGTAAAAAAAAAAAAAAAAAGAGTTCAAAAATTAGATCAATCCCTGGGACAGGCATTTTCATTTTATCTGTCTTCATTTTTTTTTCCCCAAATGATAGATACCTGTATCTAAAGCTAACAGTAGCATCTCAAATATCTGCATTATCAAAACTTCTCAAGTGTGAAAAGGTACAGAGAATCCTCAGCTTTCACTGACCCAACTAGACATGTAAAGTTCTCTAATTTTATAGTTATGGCTCACTTCCAAGACAGCCAGGTAAGTGTTCTAAACTTTTTAGGTTTTCCAAAAATCCTGGTTTGAGAATCCCTTCTGTGACCTGGGGCACAGAGGTAGCATTCTAGAAAGAATGGCATTTCAGGAGAGACAGACCACCTTTGTGACTATGGACCAGACCACTTTTGCTTAGGTGTCTTGGGAGCTTGTCAAATACAAAGTAATTTTTTAACTGTACAGACTAGCCAGCTAATGGACAGCAATTAACATGCTTTTGTTTTATTCTTCAGTAGGTCCTTGGGGTTTCCTTTTCAATTTGCTTTTTGAGAAATTACTTTAGAATGCTAGGAGATTTTTTTTGTAGAATTACAGATGGTGATTCACATACAGTGAGGACAACCGTTCCCAAAAAACCTATCTTTTGATTAGCTCACTACGTTCTTTGGACTTGCTCCCTTTCACTTCCCTCCACCATGCAACTTTGAGTACTAACCTTTGATAACACCTCAATTTTTGAGATTTGCTGGTGTATATTCAAGCAATCATACTTAAAACAGGTACCCTATTTATAAAGTTTCTGGAACTTAAGATTTAGCTATTGGACTAAGTTTCTGAAGAAATGGTAAAATACAAAAGTGACAAACTAAGGAAATGCTTGTCTCTTCACTATCAGAAAGCATAGAACACTTACGGATATTTTTGAATGCTCCAAATAGGAAGTGGATGTTCTAGAGAAATGGGGTATTATTCCAGTGGAAGAAGTTAAGATAAGAAGAAGAATGAAACCGATAATACTTGCTATTTTTGGACAGTGACGGCTAGCTCTTGCAGAGCTGAAAATGTCTAAAGGTGAGAAGAATTTAGGCAAATGGGAGGATATCACGGAAAACTAAACAGAACATTTCCTCGGTGTAAAATACTTGAAGGTGCTTCAGCCTGTATTTTTCTTAATGACTTGAAAAACTTGGATAAGATACAATTGGAAAATACCAGCTCACTAAATTCCAGCATATTACTAGCATATTAGAAAAGTATACTCTTTTTTCGTTGTTATTTGTCACTAATACCACCTCAAGCAATGAAGTTTACAAACACAAAGGATGCTCATCTCCCCCATCTCAAAGTCGAAAATTGAAAAAGAAACTCACCTAAGAAACCTTATATCAAGTCATTGACTTTAGCAATACATGAAGTTGTTTTGCATAAGCATCTGGGGTTTTTTTGTTTGGTTGGCTTGTTTGAAGTAAAAGGCCATTTCCAGATATATGTGTGTTCTAGTACAACCATCTATCATTGAGAAAGAGCAGGAAAATACGCTTTCCCAAACATGCTCACAATTTGCTACCTAATTCTAGCATTTTAATAACTCAGAACAGCCAATAATTTAAGATTATTTGCTCCCAAACAAGAGAAACAGGAAATTAAATGAAAAGAACACATTCTGTAACCCACTGACTTACAAAAACCAGTGGGCTCTATCTACAGAATGACAACATAGCCGAACCCTTTCTCATTCTAACAGCTAGAGTGTGACATTCCAAAGACAGTTAATGAGCTCAGGGACCTGTTTTGTTAAAATACCTGGCTACCAGCTCTTCACTGATTGATATAGAGAACTATATCATTTACTACTTTTTCTTGTAAAACCTATCTCTACCTCACTTAAAACTGAGTTAGAACTCTGAACTAATTCAGAAAGTTAAAAGTAAAGAATTATTGGTAGCAACATCTCCACATAGGGAAAGGGTGACAAGCTTCTTGCTGTTACATTCAGTTTGAACTGAAGTTATTCCAGGTGTTGACCTCAGTCTTTTGTTTTTCCTCTAGTTAACAAAGCAGGATGTCAACATGTGTGAGACAGTTCACATTTTTCCAGTCTTACAAGTTATATTATTACTATAATTAATGAATTTCTAGTGGCAACAGATGGGAACTTTCACATGCCAAAATGTAAAAGAGGAAGAGAAAGTTTAAGTGGAACAATAACAAAATCTGTTTAAACAAACACTGTCAAACCCCCTAGATTTGTAGCTGCAGCTGATTCCATTTCCTCCTGTTTTCTTATCCGGTAGATTCAACATATACCATGTTTATATTAGGACTGATCATTAAAATGATTGTTCTGAAAGCTAAGGTATGGTAGCACCAACAGAATTCACTCAAGTACACCACAGCTCTCTTGGTACAAGAGAAGGTGTGCTATTCATGTTTGTGATGATACAAAGTCTGCATCTGCCAGGAGCATGCAGTTTCGATCACTAGATGTTTGTAGTGCAGGTTTTACACACAACTTCCAAAATATTTGTTGTAACCGTGGTCAGAAGCTAGAGTATATCAAAGTACCTTCCCATCCACAAGCTGGCCTGACAAGATGACACAGACATCAAACTCTCAGCAGCTTCTTCAGAAGTACCACTCTGTGCAAGAACTCCTGCTGCTTGACTGGTGATGTCTTTATAAAGTTGAATGAACTGATACAAGTTCAAGATTCTGGAAGCTTCCACGATGCCGCTTGTTTTATTTATCTTAAGATATAAGAATTGTTTACAATTACATATCAGATTTTTACTTGACATTGCACAAGATTCTTTTAATGCACTGCAATTCTCATGGCAGTAGCCACCTTCCCAAGTGTCCATCACTATGTTAGCAAATTGCAGTCTGCTTCAGTAAGAGTTAACACCTGCAAACACAGCTGTTTCATCATGAGGAATACCACAGTTAGGACTACATTTTTAGGACAAGACAGTTACCATCACTACTCAAATGGATTAAGTTGCGAGTAGGGACCTAACGCCTAAAAATCTGGGCTAAACTTAGAACAAAGAACAGAATAATCAGTCATTTCATATTTGAACTTAAAATAGCCTACAGTGATGGCTGCCTTAATGAAAACTAAGAGCAAACAGAAAATTACAAACTGTTAGTTTCAAACAAAGTTTGAGAGTTGGCTTGGTTGAAACTGCATGTTAGGATTGCTCAGTGGATTCACGATTGTTTAAGGATGTTACTTGATAGGATACAGAGGGGAAAAATCTCCTCATTAGAAAGAGCAAACTTAGTAAGTTTTGTCATGGTCTTCAAACTAAGTTAAATATTTAACTTCTAGACTGGTTTTCTAAGGAATCAGAATATATATAGTTATACTAGCTCAACTAATAATGCTTGGAATTGCTGACTAACTTCTACTACTATCAAACTATGTAGTTCCCAGTTTGTTGTACTATTTGATTACCATGACTTGACCTAACAAATCATCTGAATTCGTAATTAATGAGCTGTAAGTGTTCCATTGGAAGATATCATTCCTTTAAACTTAGTTATGAAAATGTTTTTGTTAACCTGCTTTTTGCAGAAACTTGATTTATCTCAAATAGTATCCTTGAATACATCATCTGTATCAAAATATGTACTCAAAATGTATGTAGCAGGTGTTGGATTTTACCAGTAAAGGTGACAGTCCTCAAACATCTGTACACACAAACGCCACCAAGTTAAAATTTTCAACAATCTTACTTTAGTACATATTATTATCCGAACCACCTTCCAGAAAGCAGAAGAATCAGAACCAGGCTGCACTTCAAATAACAGATGTTTGTCTTGTCCAGAAGCCAATTTTGCTGTACTGAAATAAAGAAACATCAGTTTTACATCACTGCTAGGCATGCAGAGATCAGCAACCTCAGTCACTGTGATATTATTTATGGTTCACCTATGTGATCTTTATCCTTAAAGAAATTTTATCAATACTGCCCAGAGACATGAAATTAAAGAGTAATGACCTTCTTAGCATGTCATTAAATATAAAATACACAATCCATTTCACTTTAAATTGCACGGTAAATTTCGGAAAATGATGTGCAAGTCTTTTGATCCAGCATCAGCAAGTGTCCTTTACAGACATTTTAATTTATATATACTTCCACTGTTTATTACGGTAATCATACAATCTTGTGGTCTAATCTAAAAAGGTTATTTCCCTACCACATATGTAAAAAAAGCATGCAAGTACCAACACATGCAGGTGAGGTATATTTTTGTTAGTATATATTAATAATGAAGCAGTCAGGTCAAAGCTTCAGGTGACCCTGAGATTTTTGGTGTGGTGTTTTGTTTTTTTTTTTCCTAATGGAACACAGACACAAAGGTCTATTCCATAAGAATCAGAGCAAGCTATGTTACTTTCAGGCTGAAGTAAACACTGTAAAGAAACAAAAAAACCTTGAACAACAATGATATTTTGGAGTTAATTATACTGAGATATGCTTAGATTCTCAGGCAAAGCATAAGGGAATGTTCTTCAAAGTCTATTTATGTGTCTACCCAGAAGACAGCTATCTGTTCTTGAAGGTCATTCATAAGAGTATGACACTGTACAAGACAATTTCTAAACTGAATACAAATTCACATTAAACATCAAACACTACCAAAAGCCACACACTACAAAGCCCCTTTTCAGCGTGTATGTTTCCACTTCATATAATTTTATACCATAAATACTGAGTGAAAATGACAACTCTGCTTCTTTGTTCATTTCTTTTTACTGTCCACATATCAGTCAAACAAAAGGCAGGCTATGAAAAATCTTACTTATGCAGCCTTTTGTTTGGGATTATCTTGGTCACTGGTTTCAAATAGTAAGGCACATCTCATCTTTAATGGGGAACAGCATCGCATGTCCACAGAGGTGGGAGAGATGGTCACAAACAGTTCTGTCTCAGGTACTACCCTCCTAGTGTAGCTGTACCTTATAGGGCTCATATTGCTACTTCCTACTGTCCTGGTTTCGGCAGGGATAGAGTTAATTTCCTTCCTAGTAGCTGGTACAGTGCTGTGTTTTGGATTTAGGAAGAGAACAATGTTGATAACACACCGATGTTTTAGTTGTTGCTAAGTAGTG